TTTTTTTTTTTTTTTTTTTTTTTTTATTGCTTGGTAAATAGTAGTTCTTTTGTTTCTTGGATTACATTTTTTTGGCAACCATCAGACACAGTGTTTTCAAAATTCGAATTTTCATAATTTGTTGATGACTTGATAAGAAATTAAATTTTTTATTAGTATGGGTGTTTTTATTACACATGAAACTAAATCCATATGAAGTAAAACACCAAGGAAAGATAGGGTATTATTTTTCTCCATTTGAAGTATAAATTGTATGGCACAGTTTTGAAGATTTAAAATATGAAAGAAACAGTTGAAGCTCATTTGGACCATAAAATGAAAATGTCATCATCATATCTGATCTGCAATGTAGAGGTCTACCAATGTTAGTAAAGAACCCATGGGTGTACCATTCAACATTTTGAAGTACTGACTGTTGTAATAGAAATAACTGAATTTTAAGCATATTCCAAGAGGGTGACAAGATTATACTAGTGCTGGTTGAGAGACCTTGTTCATTGTTCAACTTATCCCTAATGAAATGAATAACATCAGTTATAAGAATCTTTGTGAATGAAGATGCTATGTAATATTGTTTGTGACATTTCTTGTCACAGTAACTAATTGTTTGGAGTCTTCATAATGTTCTGCTGGAGGTTAAAAGGTACTGGTTAGAAATTTTAATGCAGGAGAAACTACGTAACAAACAATACATTGTAATGATGTGCTTTTATTATAGATATTTGGTAAACCATACAGCTGGAGAAGAACCTCATGATACAAAGAAACTTTCCTATTTCTCAATTGTTATTTCCTTCGAATTAAATTTTTTCAGAAGTAATATTGTAAGCTATTTCTTAGTATTATATCTATGGTGGGTGTTTAGTGTAAACAGGATTTTTTTGGTCTTGTGTTCATTGTCTCCTTTATTAAACAAGACAATGGCATTTTACTTGTTAGCAGGAAGTATAAAAACTTGTTTCTTAAATTCACTAAATGCTTTGCATTTCTTGGGTTTCATATTAATTTCATCTTAATAACAGCTCTTTAACCTTTTGATAAAGCTCATATGCAATGTTCTCATCAAATTTGGATGCAACTTGTTGAATTGTTCTAGTAATGTCAAAAATGGAATTTTATTTAGTATAGAAACAAAGTTTAAACCTTAGAATTTCTCTTGTTTTTATAACTTTTACCACTTAAATTAACAACTATTTTCCATGCAAGAGGTAGTTATTTCTTCTGATATCACAAACCTTTCTTTATTTAATATTTCAAATTTATTAATTTGTCTCTGTTTTAACAAGTTAACTTTCTGCTCACTTTTCACTTGAACCACTCTGAGAATTTAATTTTCAATTGTTATGGAAGATGAACACTTACTTAGCTGTAGATAATGGTATTGAACAGAGCATTTATTTCTAGAGAATGACCCCTTATTTGTTCATGGATCTTGAAGGAATGTGTATTTGAAGATCTTTAGATACCAGTCTGTACTTTTTACACTTATCCAAAAATATGCAGTGGTTGTTATATTTCACTTGAAAAGTGAAGGGATATTTTTTCACATTCTAAAATAAGACATCTGTAGTAGAAAATAATTGTAACATTATTTGAACTCATTTTCTTGGATTAATTTGGTTTTGAAAATCTCTAGGATACTTTCCCACAAACATTGTTTTTACAAGATATTTTATGAATCTTCAACAGGCAAGATATTAGCATTACAAGTAGAGTTTATTATTCAAAAATCTACATTCTAATGAGTTAAAAGAATCACATAGCAACTACAGTGGCATCTACCCTAATGGTTAGAAAATAATTTCTTTAAAAAATACAAATTTATTTAAAAGACAAGGCATTCTTAACCAAAACACAATGGTTTAGTTAGAATATAGAAATTAATTAACCAGTTGAAAGTATTATAAAATATTAAATCTACTCATACTTTAATTTGTAATACAGTCTTAACATGCAGTTGGTGTGCCAGTGAGGCTGAATTTGAGGTAATGGGTTTCCAGTATTGAAATTAGAATTTAAAAAATGTACTCTGATAAAAGGTTTGATCTGTTACCCTAAAAAGAATCACATTTGACTCTTAATGGTGTTTGGCCACAAAGATGCTGAGTTTAGAGGATTGGCTGGACTGTGTTCCTGTTGCACAAAATAGTAAGTGTTCATGTTCAGGCAGGCACTACACGTACCCACCTAAAAGCAACAAGCAAGCTTTGTTGAGCCTTCCTTGTTCACCTCTGTCAGCAAATCTTGTGAAAAACCATGGAGAAAAAGAGCTTTATATAGCTGAGGAACAAGATCTTATGTTGCACAATGTGTATAGCCACTGTTATTTGTTGTGTGAACTTATGGATGGGGTTAGAAGTTAGTGTGAATTCAGACATGATTGGCAATTCCAAATCCAGGTACTGCAAGAAGTTAAAATGTTAATTCAAAGTAAAATACAGCGGGTACTGGAAAACTGTTTGGGAATTAATCCACCTAAAATGTTTCCATAACTCACAGACTGGGTGTTAACATCAACTCCAGTAGTGTTTTGTATGTTCTCTCTGATAAAATAGTACCATTATGTATTGTTTGGCAGTAGCCCATTATTTTCTTCTATGCCAGATAGAGGATAACTTTTGTTAGCCCTTATGGCAATGGCTTCATTAATGTTTTTTATCTTCATGTTAATTACTTGGTGTTCAACCTTTAACACATTAATACCATATTATACTGTGTTCATTTTCATGGACATGTGATGTTAATGCTGATGTATGTATGGCACAGTTTTGTAAGAAAAACCATATACTGTTTCGTAAATTTCATTAGGTGGAGGAGCCATTGAGATGGAGCTGTCTAAGTACTTAAGAGATTATTCAAGAACTATTCCAGGCAAGGAACAACTACTGATTGGGGCCATGGCCAAAGCTTTTGAAATTATTCCACGACAACTATGTGACAATGCAGGTTTCGATGCAACAAATATTCTTAATAAACTGCGGCAAAAACATGCAACTGGTAAGTTGTGTTAGTGTAGAGATCTTGTATTTGTGAAGAATTAATTTGCTTTTTGGCATTATGGCCAACATGGTAATTTTTTTTTTAGTTTGATAAATTAAGTAAACCATGTTCAGAAATTTCTGTTTTTCAAGATCAGAGATTAATCAGAATATACTAAATTAAATGTTTTTATTAGAAATATTTTACTATTGAATAATTAACAAACATTTTCCAGCAAAGTATAACAAAATATTAGTTTTGAGTTATGAAATAAATTTTTTCCACTGCTATTTTTAAAAGCTGGCTTTATAGAAAATTATTTTTTTATGCATAATAATCTTTAGTTAAGTAATTGTTTGTAAGTAGTTGGAGGTCAAAGTGCACATGTATTAACAGGTCTACATTCAAAATTTAATTAAACACCTTCATTATCAATATGTATCAGTAAACTTGGCATCAAAATGTAGTTTAGTATTCAACTTTTAATTTCTAATGGAAATATTTAAATAATTCTCAATCTTCTTTTCTGTATCACATGACATTCAACTCTGAATTGCCCATTTTAGATTCTCTTTCTACCCCTATATGATCTTCTGTGTTTGGTACAAATTATGCACTTAGTATAGATATTGCTGAACTAATCTGTAAATTTATAGTTTCTAATTTTCTTGCTTTACTGAGATGTACAGAAGATGATCAAAACTATATACCATGCCCTCTTATTACATCCTGTCTTTCAGATATTGGATTATTTACAACGAATATAGAATATAGAAACATATTTTAATTTACTGAATTTTCTATATGGCTAGTTCATTCTGAAGATAGTTTTTTTTAATTATTCAGCCCCAATTTCAGTGTTTGATATCAACAAATCACCCTAATCAGCTAATACAATTATTTTAACCCACTTATAGCATAGTTAAAAAAATCAATTCAATTATAGTAGTTTTTAGGATATTCTATTTGTGGTTGGGTGTTGATACTTTTTATTATAAATTGCATATTTGAAATAAATAAAAATTACTGTGTACTACCAATAACTCTACCAGAGAGTAGGGTTAAGGGTTGTTGAGACTTTAAGAGCAAAAACATGAAAAGTACAAGAACCCACATGGTACTAACTTTTTTTTTTATCTTGTTACAAAAGTAACAAATGTAAAGGTTAGAGAGACAGTGTTTGAAGTGTTTATGAAGGGATACACTTTTATAAATAAAAATGAAAGTTTATTGATTTTCCCAACTGATTTTATTTACCATTACATATTTTTAGTTTTATACAAGCTGGAATGTAGGTAGTTTGTTGCACTTATGTTAATACAGTGGTGTATCACATGTGACAAGATTAACACCTACATATTTGGTGCAGGTGAATTCCTGGCTATTCAACTATCGTTGTCACTGAGAGACTCGTGACTGACAGAAAATATCAGCCTTTTCTGAGGAAGTATTTTTGTATGGTAAAATTGTTTAACAATCTAAACTACATTTCAGGGAAGGGAGCCTTTAGTAGTCTTCATGGAAGCTAAAAACCTTGTACAGCGGAACATAAAGTGGTAGCTGACTCCATAAATACATCACGTTCCAGTCTGAATACTTCCATCAAGTGAAGTCATAGATATTTAACAATCTTCTGACCAAAAAACAATATTCAATACAAAGCTGTGAATATTTCATGGTACTGTTAATAAAAATATTAAAGAATTTAAAATTGATTAAACCTTGTAAACTTCCAGGCACATCTTATATTCGGTGGTTGCAATTTTGAGACGTATACAAAAGAAACTTGTCAACAATCACATTTAACCTCATACTGTCCAAGTCCCCTGATACAGTTCCTGTGAACTTCTGTTAACTTTCTGATTAAATGATTGTTTCTAAAGATATTGTGCTAAGATTGACCAACCTTCTTGCTGAAGCTTACTATAAGGGAAACTGTTGTGTCAGATAGTAGTATGTACTCATTATTAGATTGAACACGATTAGAAGAAACAGTTGTGAGAGCAGAATTAGATCTAGAATGTCATTCTTACAAAGCTAAATGATACCCAAGTACAACAATATTCATGGTGACAAACGTAGTCTGTAACTAAAACAGTAGAGTAAGGTTGAACAATATAAAAAATTAAATTTCATGAACATATTTTCATTGATATGTTTAAAATGTTTTTTTTGTAAGTCTGTAATCTCCTGTAGTGAACATTATCTTCCTTACTGCTTGATTTGACACAAAGTTACCCAATTTAACTTGTCATGTTTTTTAATGCAAACTGCTAGATTTTGTCACAATTTAATATGGTTTAAAATGCTTATAAGCTTTTTTGTCCTTTGTGTTTAAAGTTATTTATGTTATGAATATTCATGGTAATGTAAAAAAAAACTTAAATTTTAATTCATTTCTCTTTTACATTCCAGCAAGTTTTTTGTAGATATAGTGACTTTTGTTGTGATGCCATTTTTAAAATTTTATTTTTTTGAACTTTGTTGAAATAGCATACATATTTCCATCATGAATTATTTTTCTTTTCTGCAGGTGAACTTTGGTGTGGAGTTGATATCAATAATGAGGACATAGCAAACAATTTTGATGCATGTGTTTGGGAACCTGCAATTGTGAAGATTAATGCTCTTGTTGCAGCAACTGAAGCAGCCTGTCTCATCCTCTCTGTTGATGAAACAGTAAAGAATCCCAAGTCTGAAACTGACCCAAGCAAAGGAAGACCATTTTGAAGAAAAATATATTTTGAACTAAACCTTGGCTATTAATATAATTTTCACCCATTTCTGTTGCATTTCTTTCCTGACATCAAACTTTTTTTTTACATTAATTTGTTGTATTTCAAACAATAATTAGTAAATTGTTCCTATAACAAAAACAAGGAGTGTTTATTAGTATTATTGTATCAATTGTGGAGTTTAAAGCTTGCATAATTTACCTCAAATTCATGTTGCCTAATAATTGTATCTTTAGATGGTTTAGTATGCATTAAGTGGTTCAACAACTTGTGAAGTATTAAGTTAGTACTCAAAACGTTGATGAGCATTTTTGTGTGCATTTCACAAACATATCCTTTGCTTTAAGAAACTAATTTAAAAAGGAATGGAGCCATTGATTCTAATAATTCTTGCATCCATTTAGTGTCCTTGTTTGAAGTTTCAGTTTGTGATGTGTATAAGAAACTTAATATTCCACTGCAGCTTTAACTTTAACATCGTTTTGAGGATTTTTTTTCTTACTGTATCTATTGAAAAAAATGTGACCTCTGTTAATAAATCTCTGCTTTTTTATGTTGCATGTACTAACTGTTTTTGAAACTGCAACCCCTCTTCTGTTTAAATGGTAATCTTTATTAGTACTTGCATGTCATTTTAAATGGTAATAAAACTTCTAAAAAATTAGATTCGGTAACTGATTTAAGTCAGTTAATTTGTGTGGTAATGTCCTTATTTTTTGTATAAGAATGGTTAGGAAAAATTAGTTTCCAGGTATGAATGAAAATTAAAATGCTTGAGGAATTTGTTTGTTACTGGAACATAATTCATATTTCAGAAGAATCTAGAATCTCTACAAGAAATTACAAGAGAGAATAAAACTGCTTCTATCAAGGGGTTTTCTTGTTTAGTGAAAGTTGTGTATGAATTTGTTTTGTGCTGCATTCTTTGGACTCAACCTGCTTTGGGGAAGAATTTATTTTTATAATTATAATAATGTATTAAACTCTTTATTAAATAGCTGGACTTTTAATTAATAAAGAAAAAAGTATTTTAATAATCATACTGCCCAAAACACAAATTCAGATTGCCCCCCCCCCCCCAATTTTTTTGGAACCTAAAGTAAATAACTCAAATGATATTACTAAAGTTAAGTCCATATATGCAAATTTAATAGAACTCATGCACTGTATCTTCTAAATCATGCAGGAGCCTTCTAGAAACATTGCTAATTAAAGAAAGGCATCAAAAATTTTAGAAATTTAAATTGACTGGTATGATAGGGATTTAGAAGATCAAGAAAGTTGAAAAGGAAATTAGGACATCAAAAAGGATGTACGAGAAAAGGTTGGCTAAAAATGTAAACGTTAACAGTAAGGATTTCTTTAAATATATGAAGGGTAAACAAAATGTTAGGACAGTGGTAGGACCCTTGAGGGTTGATAAAGGAAGGCCTGTATATGATGATTATGAGATGGCTGCTTTATCTTCAGTTTTTACTAAAGAAGATTTAAGGAATATTCCATATCTTAAACAGTTGATAGATGGAAATGAGATTGAACAAATGACTGCATTAATTCTGAGCTGGTTAAGAAAAACTTAAGTTTAAAGAACAATAATGCTCCTGAGCCAGATAATATTTTACCAAGGGTTTTAAAGGAGGTTAAAGATTGGATGTGTGAGCCACTTGCTGCTATTTTTGGCAAGTCCTTTAATAGTGGGCAGGTACCAGAGGATTGTAAGTGAGACGATAAAAATTGCCCCAGTAATCATAGACCTATTAGTCTTACATCAGTTGTTGGAAAAGTTTGGAAAGTGTGATAAAAGATGCTTTGCAAAGTCATTTAACAAAGTTTAGAATTTTATTGGATAGTCGACATGGTTTCACTAAAGGAAAATCTTTCTTTACAAGTCTTGACATTCTTCGAAGGTTACTACTTATGTAGATGAGGGTAAGATTTAAATAGATATATAGATTTGGTGTGTCTGGATTTTCAGAAAGCATTTGACAAGGTGCCAAATAAGAGCTTGTAAAAAAAATTATCACTATAGGTGTGGTTAAGTTAGCAAATTGTATAGAAGAGTGACTGGATGGAAGAAAGTAGAGGTTTGTTACAAATGGAGTTCAGTCAAAGTAGATTAATGTCAAGTGGGGTACCTCTGGGCGTAATCTTAGGACCTTTGCTCTTTTTGACTTGCATCAATGACATAGATGAAAGAATGGTCAATAAATTACTTCAATTTGCAGGTGATATTAAGGTCTTTGGTGTTGCTAGCTGTGAATAGGTATGCAGCTGCTTTACGAAAGGACTTGGATCATTTAGTGGTTTGGGCAAATGGGTTTTCATTATAATAAACGCAAGATAAAGCATGTGGGTTATTATAATTTAAATTCCAATTTAGCTGAGAATAAGCTTAACAGTGCCATGAAAGAAAGGGATTTTGGTGTAATAGTTGATCAGTTTCTAAAGACAAGTAGTGTGCTGTTAATAGTGGTAGGGCAAATAGGATTTTAGGTTGTATCTACAGATATATTGAATACAAGTCTAAAGATGCTATAACTTTATTGTATAGGTTACTGTTTAAGTCACATTTGGAATACTGTGTTCAGTATTGGGCTCCTTACCTTACTTTGTTGTCCCAAAACGTTATGTTATTTTAAAGTACAGAATGCTTCTCCTACTGACCTTAATACCACTGAAGATTAGTATTTTTAATAACCATTAACAATGTAAAAACAAATTTATTTAGCATTTAATTGTTTTTCGTATTATTATTATTGAACTCGATGTTTTTCGTCATATGTATTAGTGACTTACTTGGCAAATCAGAATCGACTTGGAAATATACTAGAAGCAAACTGAGTACTTTCGTGTTTCAAACAATAGTGCAGGGCGAAATAATTCAGACTTCAAATTTAATGATTGTACAGATCGAAATCATAGTATTAAATTGAATTTTGGTTTTCGTTAAATTTGACAACAAAAATCACAATAGAAAATTTCTCCAAAATTAGTCTTACAGGAACGCTTATTTGGAACATGAGATTAATTCTGTGTACTTCGTGGTTAATGTAAAAATTGAACTGTGACTTTCGTAAGATACAAATTTATTTCTCAAAATATTTCTGCGTGGGTAGTTGAAATTCTAGTCCTCTCTCTATCAGTTTCTAGTGTTGACATGGATACTTTAGGAATATGGTATTTGAAAGCTTAAAGTATAAGTAGTACATAAAACTGACAGACGATGCATGTACGGCTTTGGTAGTCCAATTTTGTAATGATATACCTAGATTAGCTAATGTGGTCTTCTCCCGTAGACACTATATACTTGACCGTCTCTGGTCAAGTAAATGGTTTGCTGATTCAGCAGTTCTTCTGAATGATAATTCAACTAAAAATAAATAATTGGTGTTAATAAATCTTACCCTAATTCTGATTTGTAAATAACTCTTATAAAATAACAATTCATCAGCCTTATCTAGTTCACACTATAGCATTTGTTCAAGTAATTTCATAATAAAAATAGGGTCTCAACTGCTACTTGTGTCTCTCGTATCCCAGCCGGCTTGATTAACCCTGGTTTGGGGAAAAATACATTCTCGATACTGGATATAGTGTAGTTGACGTATTTTTATACATTCTTCTTAACTTTCACTCATACATTCTTAGAAAAAGATTATGGGAAAGAAACGTGACACACTTAGAACAGTTGAAAAAGGTTTTGTATGGTTACTATCGGAAAAGAAACCATATAATTCAAGTGTTTTCGGAAAGAGAGCTTTCCGCTCAGGTTACTGTGTTCCTTTTGTGATCCTAACATTTTTAGTTCGCGTAGGTTCTGTTGACAACTGCCTCCCATTTAGACGAGAAGCACAGATAGCCCTTGTGTAGCTTCGAGCGAATATCCCAAATAAACTTTCGTGATAAATAGTATAAAATTACTTGTCGGAAACAGCGCAAGGGGAAAAGCTTGTTTGTTAGAAGCTAAGCACAAAGATACATAAATAGGCTCTCTGTGTTCTGTCCTCCACCAGTATCGAAACCCGGTTTCTAGTGTTGTAAGTCCGCAGACATATTGTTGTGCTATTGGGGGGGGGGGGGCATTTATATTGATTTAAAACAATTATAAGGCTACAAGTAAAATATTCCTTGTGGGATTTTTGTTTTTGATATAATAAATAAATTTAGTTGTGTTTTTCCGTACCATCAAAATTATTATTACTTTATTTGTGCAGTTTCATTATACTTGCTAAGTTATTGATTTAAACCGAGAATTTATATAGCTAAAGTTAGTCTGTGTGTTTGTCTCCAGATGGCGTCAGAAAAGAATCTAAAGCTAACTCCCAGCAGTTATTTCGTTATAATTTTTCTGTTTTTACTAAATAATGTTTGTTATTTGTTTGAAGTTAAGCAAAAAGCTACACAATGGACTATCTGTGTTCTGCCCACCACGACGGATATCAAAACCCGATTTATAGCGTTGTAAGTCCTTAGACGTGCCACTGAGGGGGGGGGGGTGAATAATATTAATTAGATTTTATTGTTACACCCGATACTAATAGAAATACTTATTCTTTTTAGAAAGTTATAACTTTCGAGATTTAGGTAATTCGATATCGTCCTTAAAATATATGGAAAAAGGTAGCTATAATAAATATCTTTGTTGCAAACAAGACAAAAAATACCCCGTTGAAATAATTAGAATACATTTTTCGAACAATTAATGTACGTCCTATTGGGCCGTGCGCTCTAAGTATTACAACTACTTCTTTGTTTTTAAACACAAAGCTACACAAAGAGCTATCTGTGCTCTGCCCACCACTGGTATCGAAATATGGTTTCTAGTAATAGAAGTCCGCAGACATACCAATGTGCTATTGGGAATCTAATGCGCTTACATCAAACAAAGAAAGTAAACTAAGTATTTGCCGTTGACTATCTGCCTCTGGTTTGTTAGTTCAAATTATGGACAGTTTTGTTCGAAATTCCGAAACAATCATCGACTGATTCTCAGAGGAAATGTGGCTAGTTTTGTAGCCATCTTTATTTATTGTTAGAGCTGTTGACATGTCACAAATGTACCTATCGATTTATGATGTGTGTGTGACGATATACTTTCGTCAGCTGTGTGTAAATGATTGAAAACTATACAATTAGTAAAGTTTATCAGTAGAAGAAGGAAGGAAATGATAAAATTATTATTAATATTTTTTAGTTCGTTTTGGTAATTTTTCACCCAGCGAAAAACTTTATTCAATACTGGCGTGGCCTGGTGGTTAAGGCACTCGATTCGCAATCTGAGGATCGCGTGTTCGAATCTTTGTCACCGAACATACGCACCCTTTCAGCCGTTGGGCATTATAATGTGACGGTCAATCCCACTATTCGTTGGTAAAAGAGTTGGCGGTGGGTGGTGTTGACTAGCTGGCTTTGCTTTACTCTATTACTACTAGATTAGGGATAGTTAGCACAGATAGTGTAGCTTTGCACGAAATTCAAAACAAATCAAACTTAATACTGGCAATACTAAACATTATGTGGAAGTTCTCGTGATGTAAAATCCCTGCTGAAAGTTCGTTGGTAAATTTGATAGCTTATATCATTGAAATTCTGTGTTCGATACCTGCAGTGGGAATAGTTGAAATAGCTTATGGAACAGCTTTGTGCTAAAAAAAACAAAACACTGTATCGGATATAATTTGCTCCGAAATGATAAATAGCGCAATACTCAAATTGAAAATATAAAATCAAAGCTCAATTACGGCAAAACGTTTGCGAAAATTGTATATTTTCCTTAAATAATTGTTTTCGACGATTTATTTGATATTTTTTTTTATCTTATGATTTAGCAGGTTTATTTAATGATATTTTATTTTTGTCGTCTGAATTACTTTATTTCTCTTCAGGC